ATGGACAGTTTTCTAATGGGCAATGATGTTTTGAGGTTTCTATAGCAACTGAAATGTTTATTTCTTATAGATACACATGTTTAATTCTTGCTAGGATTTGGCGTCTATTTTACATAATAATCTACAAAAATAGTTGATCAGTGTCAAAAAAAACATTTAGGAAGTTCACATGGAAAAAACAAGTAAAAAATAATAGGAAATCCTGTTTTCCAAATGAAGTTGATCTCCTTCCATTTAACTTTAGAAGGACAAAGGTCAATCCATTGATGGGATCACTTGAAGGAAGGAGTTCCATTTTGCTGAAGAAATCTGAGCTCATTCAACTCTCTTTCTTCCACTATTTCCAAAAGGAAGGTGTGATCGGACTTGAAAGAAGTGTGCTATTTGGCATATTGCCCTACTCCCAAAGAGCCTTTTACTTCTCTGTACAAAAAGGGCACCGCAATTGATAGAAATGCAGTATTCCATTCCCCCCATTTCCATCTCTAGGATATCAGCATCTGAACTCAAAATTTCATTAATACAGGGAGTCATGGCTGTGTTTCATAATCAAAGAAGAAACAAAAATATTCACTCATTATTGCTTTTGGGGAATTTTAACTTTGCAATATTATTAACTGATAACACAGCCCAACCCCCAAAAGCATTTTTCTTTGTGTCCCAGTTTTTAGGGCTGTTTTGGGGTTATTTGGGGTACTGATTTAGAAACTTGCATTAGCTAGACCACATCACCTCTAGTTTGTTAGATATGGTTACATTTATAAAACTAAATATAAAATTTAATTTTTTTTTGGTATGAACTAAGTAGATTTTCATGTACTGTAATAAATGTTATTTTTTTCTTCATGCTTAAAATATATTAATTTCAACACTGCATTAAAATACCTTGGGTTTTTTATGGATGAGCAGAGTGGAGTGGTATATGACATACGTTCTTTTTCTCAAAAACTAGAGCTGATCGGGGAAAACTAGTGCCATTTTTGGAATCAACAGGTCAAATATACCCAGAAATGAGACTAACATTTGAGGCACCAAAACGTGTGTTGGCCAGTGTAATCTACAAGCTAGCAAATACTTTCAGGCAAAAGAGAATGCTTGAATTTATCGGTACTGGAAAATTCTGCATATTATAATGAGGTCACAAATAGAAACTGATCAGTCTTTAATTTAAATTCACATTCTTTTTGGATCTATGGACTTTCCTAAACCACTAGGCTGCTGTTCCTAATTAGCAGTGGGTATTGATGTGATCTGGCTAGTTTGGTTCTACTATTAGATCCTTTTTCCAATTACTGTATTTTCTAGCGTATAAGACTACTTTTTAATCCAGGAAAATCTTCTCAAAAGTCAGGGGTCATCTTATACACTGGATGTTGTCTTATAGAGCAGGTGCTGAAACTTCTGAGCCAGATTGGAGAATCTGTGGTTGCCGCATATGGTAGGAGAAGCTCAAAAACGGCCGTGGCCACATCCCTGCCATATGCGGCAACCGTATGAAAGCAGCAAGGGCAGCACTGTACAAGTATGGTAGAAGAAAATCCACTCACCAAGATTCGTGGAAACAAGTGACTGAACGCAGTCCTCACCAGGAAGGTGTAAGTAAAGGGCAAAGGAAGCTGCAGGCGTCCGGGATGCATGAGGTATTGAAAAAGAGATAGAGCGGCGCTGTGCCCAGAAAAACATGCCTCTTTCACTCATCTGGCCCACTCTCGTATCCTATAACCGTACCTCTTTCTCTGCTTCTCAGATCTCGCGCCTGAGGACTGCAGAGAAGCAGCACAGGTGCACATGCACGAGATCTGAGCGGCAGAGAAGGGGTATGGTAATAGGAAAATTACCATACTGAAATCAAATCTGATGGTGTATGTGTGTGTGTGTGTGTGTGTGTGTGTGTGTGTATATATATATATATATATATATATATATATTTGGCGTGTTGGAAGAGGGGTAGTCTTGTACAGCGAGTATATCCCAAACTCTATATTTTAACTGGAAAAGTTGGAGGTCGTCTTATATGCCCACTTGTCTTATACGCTGGAAAATACAGTGCTTTATTACTCTAGCTATTCCCATCTGCTAGAACTGCAGTGTTCAAACCATTATTTAACTGTCTTCTGGTAAGGCTTTAAATATTTTGGAAGCACATTTCTTAGTTCTTAAGAGAATAATTGAAGGTAGGTTAGAAAGCAAAATCTTGGTTGTCATGACGATCTGTTTTACAGATTGCTCTTCTTAATTGTAATTCCTGCATTCTGCTCTTTTTATCTTTGTGCACACCTTTTTTTTCTTGGTCCACAGCAGCATATCTGTAGGCTATTATTGCCTAACATTTTTTCCCATTCTGGGACATCATTGATTGTAATGCACACTAATTTCAGTACAATCAACAGAAAAAAAGCTTTATTTATACACTAACTTGGGGACCCGGCAGTGCCGGGTTATTTGAAAAAGGCATTGTTTGTCTGTGTTGCAGTTTTAGTCTATATCTAATGTCATCTGGGTTCAGTGGGTGCAGGTGAACTACAACTCCCATATGCAAGTTCCATCATCCATGGTCCATCCTCCTCCAAACTGCACCAGGATGTGGTGTGGGTCATGGGGGTTCTGTGTGCCAAGTTTGGTCTTGATCAGTCATTGGATATGAGTTGCAGTGGTCTCAGGAAGTGAATGAATGTACTCCAAGTCCCATCATCCATGGTCCACCCTCCTCCAAACTGCACCAGGATGTAGAGTGCATCATGGGGGCTCTGTGTATCAAGTTTGGTGTTTAGTGGTCATTGGATGAGGGTCGCAGTGGGCTGAGGAAGTGAGTGAAGGTACTGTAAGTCCCATCATCCATGGTCTGCCCTCCTCCAAACTGCACTAGGATCATAGGGGCTCTGTGTGCCAAAAGCTGCCTTCTTTGGGTCAATGTTGAAAAGAGAAGATGCTACCCTCTTTTGGGTCCTAGCAGGGCAGAGCCAGCCTTCAAGGATTTAGAAGAAGGGTCAGAGGAGGCTGGGATAGGAGGTTTGGGGGCTAGAAGTGTTAATAAGCATAAAAAGGCATCATTAAAAAGATAATGGTTCTTTGAAGGACAATGCCTTTTCCAAAGGCCCTGGCAAAAGCTGCCTTCTTTGGGTCAGTGTTGAAAACGGAAGATGGCGTTCTCTTTTGGGGCCTTGTAGTGGCCTGTGAATATGGCTGCCAATCAGAAAGCTGTGAATGTGTCGGCCCATCAGAATGCTGCCACATACATACACCGCCCTCCCTTCTGCTGCATAGCAACACTGACTTATATTATATACATAGATATAAAAAGTACCCACAATTCTAAGACGCACTCAATTTTAGAGATGTTTATACAGGAAAAAGTATGTCTTAGAATCGAAGGAATAGGGCATTTCATTTGTAAAATCTGTCAACTTTTAGAATAATGCATCATAGTTCATAAATGATATAACAACTGTCAGGAATTGTAGATTAACAGTTACCTTCTTTTGTCCTCTTTCTGTTCCTCCTTTTAATTGCTGATGCCTGAAATGAATGAATACATGCAGTCACCAAGTTACAAGCATCCGGCTTGTACTTGAAACTGACAGTTTGGTAACATTTACTGATGCTAATAAGACTGTGAAGCAAACTTTCGATCCTGAGTAAACTTACACGATAAATGAACTGGCAATCAATAGTAAAGGCAGTATGAAGGACTGAATCCAGACTTGCTCTAAACTTGTTTCTTCAAAACGCAAAATCTTCAGAATATAACAGTTTCATCTTTATATCTACAACTATAGACACTGTCACTTTTAAAAATGCAAACGTGTATATGGCTGGATTATTGGAATAAGACTTCCAAGCACACACTTGGTTATGAAACTCACTAGAATACTTTCAGCCAGTGTAATATGTTTGAGTTATTCTGAAGGTAAAATGGATAAAGGAAGGAAAGTTTATGCTGCACCATAAAGAATTAGCTATTCCCTGTGTAACCTCTTTACCTTCTTTTTATTATACAGGATTACAGCTGGACAGACATCCGATGTCCCTTTGAAAAGCGAAGGGATGCTGCCTGTGTTTTCTGGGACAATGTAGTTTATATTTTGGGTGGTTCTCAGCTTTTTCCTATAAAGCGAATGGACTGCTACAATGTTGTGAAAGATAGCTGGTATTCCAAACTGGGGCCTCCAACTCCTCGTGATAGCCTTGCAGCTTGTGCAGCAGAGGGAAAAATTTATACTTCTGGAGGTTCAGAAGTAGGTAAGACGCTTTTATAGGGATACAACAAAACAGAGGTTGTACATGGTGCCCTAATAATGTCATTAAATGTATAAAAAAAACAAACAGCATTCCTGGAGTCAGAATTTCTGACAGGTATCTTAAAAATTACTGATAAAAATGTATATTGCTTAATATAGTTTTAGAAAAGATACTTCTGTGTCAGTTTTACTTGGTGTAATTTTGTCAGGGAATGAAAATACATATCCAGCTGTCATGTGTCAAAGTAGCAGATAAGTCAACCTGTGATTTAATTGGCATAGGCAATACAAGCCTATACATTTCTTAGAAAAATCAGTCACATTTTGGTATGCTTCCTTTGTGCTTCTTAGTTCAATGCATTAGATGCAAAGCTGCCCTTGGTACAATATATTACCTATGTAGTTTTGCACTGCTTTCAGCCATACAGTTGGTATGTGGTATGTTTGCTAATTTGGTTGACCACTGCTAATCAAACTATTTTCAGTAGAATTGCTGTCTGAGACTTTAAAAATTCTGGAATCTAATTAAAATGCACTTTCTGAGTTTAGAATACTTTCTATGGGAATATGATATCAATTAGCATTAGTACAGGCTGAGTATCCCTTACCTAAAATGCTTGGGACTAGAAATGTTTGTAATTTGGAAGACTTGCATTTGTACACACACACACATACATAATGAAATATCTTTCAGAAGGGACACACATTTAAACTTTGTTTCATATACATCTTATGCACATAGCCCAAAGGTTTTTAATAATTTTGTGCATGAAGCAAAGTTTGTGAACAGTTTTGAAATTCCGGATAAGGGATGTACTGGCATCTTGTGGGATATTCACCTAATAGCTGATGGCAAGAACATTTGGAACACCTGGCATCTAGCAAATGAAGAGTGTGACATAAAGTATGCCGCTCCCTGTTTTTATGTCTTGGTTAACTGTTTTATTGTATCTGGAGCACATGCAGGATTGTAAAGTTCTTAGTGTTGCAGAAAGGTGATTCAAACAATGGAACATGTGTGTCTTGGGAGAGTGATAAAACAGGAATAATTAAAAAGCTAACACACCTTGAAAGCGCTGTTTTGCAAAGTATAATGAATTTGCAGATCTGTCTTTGAATGACAAAACTACTGCATTGTAAGAGATATGTCCATGAAAAAAATTGAAAAAATATTGTCTAAATCTATTTCCCTTTCATTTTTATTTAAAGGAAATTCTGCATTATATCTATTTGAATGTTATGATACAAGAACTGAAAGCTGGCACACAAAGCCCAGCATGTTGACACAGCGGTGCAGCCACGGAATGGTAGAGGCAAATGGCCTGATTTATGTATGCGGAGGCAGTTTAGGAAACAATGTTTCTGGCAGAGTCTTGAACTCCTGTGAAGTTTATGATCCAGCAACAGAAACGTAAGTATGGATTTATAAGCTTCTGCCGCAGACTGTTTTTCAGAGTTCTTCATTTTTTTTTATTTACTCTACATGATCAGAGAAGCAAACATTGTGAAAAAAGTTTTTGATGTCTGAAACTAATTTTCTTCCTCAGTGTGGAAAAACCTGCCCTATGTCCAAAACCCATCCATTTGCAGCTTTTTCCTTTACAAGAAGCAAGAAATTTTAAACATTATAAAATATGATTAGAAAAATTTTAATGATATATTACTTCATTGGATATGTTTTTGTGCTAGTATGGAGTTACAACTTTTTGCAGGGAAATTAAGTCAAAAGCCAGGAAAATGGAGTTAAGTTATACAGTTGTCCCTCCACTTTTTCCGAGATTATCTGTGGGGATGGAGTCTTTTTCTTTCATAGCACAAGTGTCTGTTTCACCTAGGCAAAGGAAGGAAAAAGAAATGCATACTATTGGACTTTTTTCAAATATATTCAAGCCATTGCTGATTGAATCCATAGATACAGAGGACTGGCTGTATTTGTTTTCTAAATCACTTAATACAATTTCAGTTATGTAAGTTTGCCTGTGAATTTAACGTAGGGTTTTTTTTAAATAGTGGTAAAGGAAATTAATTAAACTTGGTCCATGGAAAATGAAATCTATAAAGTTAGCTATTACTTTTCTCCTTACCAGCTTTATCACTTGAAGATACTCAGTGGAAAAGAATGCATATAGCATGAAACTGAGAATTTAATTTTGAAATAATTTCAGGTGGACAGAGCTGTGTCCGATGCTTGAAGCCCGAAAGAATCATGGGCTGGTGTTTGTGAAAGACAAAATATTTGCTGTGGGTGGACAGAATGGCTTAGGTATGTATTCATTTCTGCTGCCTGATGCTAAGATCTGCCGTGTCAGAAGTAAAATGTACTATCTACTGTGCCTGGTTTGGCATCTCAAAATTATTTTAAAAGGGTGTCACACTGAGAAGGGGGAAAGTTTGTTTTCTGCTGCTTTAGAGACTAGGACACAAAGCAATGGATTCAAATTGAAGGAAAAAAGACTCCATTTAAAAATTAGGAATAAATTCCTGACAATAAGAACTGTTTGACAGTAGAATATGCTGCTACCTGAGAGTGTGGTGGAGTCTCCGTCTCTGTAGGTCCTTAAGTAGAGGCTGGATGTCCATCTGTTGGGGTTGCTTTGATTGTGTTTTCCTGCATGGTGCAGGAGGTTTGATGGTCTCTTCCAACACTGTCATTTTGGGAGCCAGGTGAGGAGACATACTAATATACAGAAAAGTCATGGGGCAAATTTCTGGTTCATACTGAGATACTATATTTAAACAATATAGGTTCTCACACAATATAGGTGTGAGAAGAACAGAAAAAGCCTTTGAAAAATACAAAATTTAATCCAGGTGAAATTTGTATTATTTCGTATTCTCAAACTCTTTTTCCCCCCAAGACACTGTTGGAGCTTTTCATTTATCAGACTAGAGAACATTACTTACAGTTGGGGGGAAGTCTTTTCTCTTTAAAGTGTGTCCTTTCAGAAATGTGCATTTGAAACTTACTTGTGTGTTTTTCTTTTTAAAGGTGGATTAGACAACGTAGAATATTACGATATTAAAGTAAATGAGTGGAAGATGGTCTCCCCCATGCCATGGAAAGGCGTAACAGTCAAGTGTGCTGCAGTAGGGTCTATCATTTATGTCTTGGCCGGTTTTCAAGGTGTAGGTCGCCTGGGGCACATCCTTGAATATAACACTGAAACGGATAAATGGATAGCCAACGCAAAAGTCCGTGCTTTCCCAGTGACTAGCTGCTTAATCTGTGTTGTTGATACTTGTGGAGCAAATGAGGAAACACTAGAGACTTGAAGACTTCCAAGATCCTTCTAAGGAGCTCCTGAAAAAAATAGTTTGCTACTTGTGTTTCATTTTGTTTTAGTTTGTAATACTTTGGCAAATTCAGAATACAATCCTTTATTTTATATCTCCAATATATAATCTGGATTTGCTTTTTTGAGTTTTATTTTCACTTTCCTTCTTAATGACTGGAAGTATTTTGAGAATTTACCAATCCGCACCGAAGACAAACAACCTCTTTCAGGTGTGCTTGTGTATTTCTTCAGCAAACAAAATCTGCCTGAAGTACATCATGGAGCACTTCAATAACAATTATAAAATACTACCTGCATTTTAAAGTGACAGTACTGAAGTTCTTCAGGTAGTACAGATGACTTGAAACAAAACTATCATTAACTGCAACATGTTTGCTCAAACAGCTTTTTTCTGCGTTACAGTGATGCAGCTACATCACAGGATTGGAGTTCTGCAACAATAAGTTGTTCAAGAAGTACTTGAATGAACATCATAATTTTCCAGATCCTATTTATATTGAGTTAACAGGGTATATCTATATATGAACATCTATTTATCTTGCATTTGTGTTTTATTGCACAACTAGAATGGTGCCTAGCTATAGGCAGATAATCCGGTGAGTTTTTTAATTATATTTGCACAAAACCATATTGTCCTGTGTTGTTTTCACTATAGCCTTCCTGCCATATTCATGAGGTATGGTTTTTCTTTCAGAGTGCAGTTGCCTTCTAAAATACTGACTTGTAAAGGTGAGAGTACATGTCACATCTCTTCCTTATCCCTGTAGGAGTTTTGCGGGCTTTAAGAATAAATATGCTATTGCCTTTGATACGCCTCTTTTTATACAAGATGAGGAAATGTAGGCAGGGATACTTTAGAATGGTAGCTACTCATGATTTCACAGGTCTCATTCCTGGTGAAAACAAAAGTTTTGCTTGTATTTATAGTCCATTTATTTTATCAGATAAATAAATACAAATTACACTATTTTGTTCTCTTGCTCTGATTTTCTTTTGTGGACACAGTCTAGGGCAAACAGGAAGTAGTTCTGTCTAGAATATCCATTCCTTCTCATTCTTTGTTTGTATTGGAATAGATCAACATCCATAAATATTTCTTCTTGTGTATATACTGTTAAAGGGCCATAGATCTGCATGTTAGAAAGTGAATGCCTTTCTTGCTTGTGTACAAAACATGTTTGACATGAAAAATATACTCTAGTTACTTAAGTTCATTATCTTCCTCCAATTCTCTTCTGCTTCTACAACTTCTTGTGAGCAATCTCTTCTAACCTGGAACTTCTAATATTCTAAATGTGGGTACCTTGTTTTTCATGCTGATTTTTGAATCAGTATTGATTCAGTATTGACAGTGTGTCGACTACACAGAGGAATACAGTTTTGCCTTTTCAGGACTTTTTTTCTTATGTTGGAATTTTAAACTATTTCTGAAGCACATTTTTTATAATTCTGCCTTGTGGGGGGGACGGGGACACGGTCTTTTTAACAGATCGAGATCAGAAAAAATTAAACCTCACCAGTGTATAGCAGTATATTATCATGACATGGTTTCAATACTTCTTGCATATTTTTTTAGAACTCTTGCAAATGAGTTCATCATGTTCATTTAGTTGCAGTTAATAAAATATGGGCATTGTGGTATCAAAGTGTCACTTTATGATTCTATATTTCTACATGTTCTGTATCTAGGCAATGTGACAAATTTATTTTGTTTGTACGTTCTTAATATATGAACACAAAATACAAAACATTTAGGACTGTTTTGTGTATTGACATATGTATTGACAAATTTGGCTACAAAAATGCTTTAGTTAAGTTTTAGTTTTTGAGAATGAAGAAAATACTTAAGTAAAGTTTGTTGGTCGGTAGATTTTGTTGATTAAATATTTGTTTTTTCTTAAAATGGCCGTGAAGTGCTCATTTAATACTCAGTCATACGGTTTATTCCTGGGCCTCCTCATATAATAGTGATATCCCACTAGATAAAAGCCTGCCATACTTATCTGAGTTATGGAGGAATATACAGTTGCATTCTCTAACTGAGTCCTGTTTGTTTACTGTAGTGCATTTATCCTTGTTGCCCATGGGAGTGAAGACAAAGCTTCATCAGAATATCAGTAGTGGAAACATCTCTTTTAGTGCACTAATATTTGTAGAGACATCAGTGCAAAAGTAAGTTAAATAAGTACCATATCCTGATGTCATTGGCATTCATCTGTTACTGTCACTGTCAGTAAATATTCCAACATAGCAAAATGTGAAATCCCTCTGGATTGAGTAATCACTTTTTTTTTCTTCTATATTATAATTGTAGGTTCACATAATACAGTAAAATGCTGTATCTCTGGGGGATACAGTACAAGAATCCCCATGTATGGCAGAAATCATGGATAGAACCAAATCCTTTACCAATAATAATTTTGGAACTCAGTTGACTGTAGCTAACTGAAACCATGGAAAACAAAACAAGACAAGATGTGACTACATAGTATTTTCAGATTGTAGATAACTGAATCAAAATAAAATTAAATGCACACGTAAGGGGATCTTCCATATTACACAATTCTGTGCCATGACAGTTTGCTCTTAACAGAACACAGATGTCAATTAGGCTTCCCCAGGACAGGAAGGGTACATACAATTTTTTTAAGAATTGATAAAATACTTTCACCACAGTTGTAAGGAATGGAGGTTCTGGTCCAGAATGGGTTCAAATATATGGTAACACTTTGTAGTTGCCAGGAACAAAATATGGCTGTGTTTAGATTTTCACAATGGAGTTTTAGCACGTACTAGCATGGCAAACTATACCTTCTGAAATTGTCTTCTGTATGTTAAAGAGGCTTCTCATCACTTTTAGCAATTCATTCCAGCTACTAGCTATTTCTGTTTTCCATAATGCATCAAATCCCATGCATGGCATATGATGACTGGAGAAATTACCATAAAAATTGCATGAGAGCCAGCATTTTTGGTGCTTTGAGTGTTGAACCACAACTGACGGACCAGGGTTCGATTCCACATGGAAACTCACAGTGACCTTGAGCAAGGCACACTCTCTCAGCCCCAGAAAACCATATAATAGCCTCATTTTAAGGTTGCTATGTCAGAAACAACTTGATGGCATACAACAACATGGAATTACAGCAGAGGTATGGACAGAGATACATTAAGCTTTAAAGGATTAGGTTTGTTGTTCACCCCAGTTATTGCTTCTGGCTTCTAAAACTTGGAAAGAGCAATGAGAGGGGAGACAAGCAGGGTCTTAAAGGCAATTAAAAGTGTCCATATGTCAGTGTTTTTATGTACAGATTATATGGAAGCGCAGCACAAAATACATAATCATATAGCAAGACTTGCCACATTTCGCTACTTTTGGTTTAGTCATTGGCCTTAAATATATTCTGTACAAGTCCATTTTAAGAAAATACATTACCAGTACAATTCATATTTTCTTACTCGTAACCCTTAAAACCTAGGAGCCCTTCCTACAAAACGGCATATATCTCTTGATGTGTGTGTTTTAGGAGGATATATTGTGGTGCAAAGCCCTTTAAAAAGGAAGCTTCTGAGTATACTTTTAGGCTGTTTTGTTTAATGTGAATATAATTTTTGTACTTCCCTTGCACATGGCAACTGGAGCCAGAAATTCCCAATATGAGGAGCTGTAATTATTGTCCAAACTTAAAAAGCCCTTCAAAGATTTAGGGTGAGGATCATGATTTGTGCCTTTCTGGATCCTGTCACACTCCTATTTAAATATGCTTTATAACCTAAGGCTTTAATATCACTCTCTACTGAGTCTGAAGAAGGGGGTTTATATCCACAGAAACCAAGGTAAAAATACACTCTAGTCCAGGATTTTCTAAGCTGTGTGTCATGACACGTTAGTGTGTTGACTGCCTTGTGTAGGTGTGTCACATGAAAAACCTGATGAGTCTTATGTGAAATAAATTTTTAAAAATATACAAATAAAAGGTTTTCATGACATATGTTGTATCCCCATATATTTCATTACAATTTATGTATGTGTCCATATTTCATATAAGGGGTTGGCTTAGCCTCCGGTTTCTTAATAAACATGAATTACCATGTTTCAAAATGATGCATGTCTAAAAAGTGTGTCATAATATGTAATAGTTGGAGAGTTGTGTTCTAATTACTTTCATTCAGTCTTTTCTTCCAGTTCCTTTCCAGTTTCTCTGCTTTTACAACTTTCTATGAGCTACCTCAGAGGCTGCAGTGGTGCAGCTGGTTAAACCACTAACCTGCAGAACTTGCTAATCGGAAGGCTGGCAATTTGAATCCGCGGGACAGGGTGAGCTCCCACTGCTAGCCCCAGCTTCTGCCAACGTAGCAGTTCGAAAACATGCAAAAGTGAGTAGATCAATAGTTACCTCTTCTCTGGGAAGGTAATGGCACTCCGTGCTATCATGCCGGCCACATGACCTTGGAGGTGTCTACGTTCAACACTGGCTCTTCGGCTTAGAAATGGAGATGAGCACCACCTCCCAGAGTTGGGCGGTAGACTTAATGTCAAGGGGAAACCTTTACCTTTACTTTAGTACTTTAAGGAGGACAAGATTTCAACAAAATAAAATCAGTAATGACCTAAATCCCATTTTATGTTTAACTAGTGTATACCTATTGGATCAATGAGATTTATCCAGTTGCCCATTCAACATTTAATTCAATGAGGCTGATCTAGTTAGGTTTAAGCAAGATTACTTAATATCTTATTTAGTGCCATATCTGTCAGCAAATAACTCATAGGATCGCTTAAAAAATATATCCAGAATAATCTATCACATTATACATCATGTAACTTTATGTGTACTTAATGACATAGGAGAAACAGTACATTATGAATATGTTTAACTGGACATTTACCTAGGCTGGTCCAAAAACCTCAACCCTTAGAAATCTTATCATTTACCCTGCCCTTGTTCCCCCAGTTACTCTCTTACTGGATTGAGTCACTTGTTTCATAAATGTGGACTTGTGACTGTGTTGTGTGGGTTCTTTACTTTTGGTATATCTTTACTGTGAGCTATCTCTTCTGAAGTTAGATTACTAATAGTCTTGAAGAAGCACATTTTTGTGTCTCTTGTTAATATTGTCTGTTTGCCATAACATCCTTGAATTAATGTCTTCGAATACAGCACTGATGGACTGAACAGATTGTTCCAACCTGGAAAAAACGTCTTAAAAGGTGCTGTTGCATTTCTTTTCCTCCCTTTCCTTTCAGTCCAAAGCTTTTCCAGGCATGGTAAAACTTTGGCCCTCCAGGTGTTTAGAAGGGCAACTAGGAATTGAGGGAGTTGGAAGTCCAAAACGCCTGGAGAGCCAAAGTTTGCCCATGCCTGTTTTAGGTGTTTTAGACCATTGTTTCTATTTCATTTATTTATTTCAAACATTTATACCCTGCCTTTCTCAATCTCCGGGGGGGGGGGGGGGGGGGGGGGGACTCATGGCGGCTTACATCGGCACAATTCCATGCCATTACATATAAATAATACATACAGTAATTACATATAAAAACACAGTAAATTAAGTTTAAAATTAGTTTTAAAATAAAAGTACATTAATAAAAAGTGCAATAATACTGGTTGTCTAGCCTTATGTAGAAACAAATTCAGCGAGCACAACACAATCGGAAGCCTGTCCATAGTCCATTTTCCATAACATTATCATTATTACCATTGTGTCACAGATGTCACACACTGAAGACACAGTGAAGGCATCTGCCTTTGCGCTATGCTAGAGATGTATCTACACCACGGAATTAATGTAGTTTCACGCCACTTTAACTGCCATGGCTCAATATCATGGGATCTAGGGGCACTAGAAACAATATCATACGAAAGCTGACTGGCACAACCTGGGGATCACAACTAGACACGGTGAAGGCATCTGCCCTTGCGCTATGCTACTTTGCTGCTGAGGATGCAGACTGTGGCCAGGAAATCAGAAGACGCTTACTTCTTGGGAGGAGAGCAATGTCCAATCTCAATAAAATAGTAAAGAGTAGAGACATCAGACTGGCAACAAAGATCCGCCTAGTCAAAGCCATGGTATTCCCTGTAGTAACCTACGGATGTGAGAGCTGGACCTTAGGGAAGGCTGAGCGAAGGAAGATAGATGCTTTTGAGCTGTGGTGTTGGAGGAAAGTTCTGAGAGTGCCTTGGACTGCGAGAAGATCCAACCAGTCCATCCTCCAGGAAATAAAGCCCGACTGCTCATTGGAGGGAAGGATACTAGACACAAAGTTGAAGTACTTTGGCCACATCATGAGGAGACAGCAAAGCCTAGAGAAGACAATTATGCTGGGAGAAAGTGGAAGGTAAAAGGAAGAGGGGCCGACCAAGGGCAAGATGGATGGATGGCATCCTTGAAGTGACTGGACGGACCTTGAAGGAGCTGGGGGTGGTGATGGCTGACAGGGAGCTCTGGCGTGGGCTGGTCCATGAGGTCACGAAGAGTCGGAGACGACTGAACGAATGAACAACAAGCATGCCCAGTGTGGAACACATCTCACCACGCTAAAACAGTGGATGTGGCTCTTAATGAGAGATGCCGCATTATCACAGGGTGTCTGCGCCCTACACCACTGGAGAAATTACACTGTTTAGCTGGTATTGCACCACCTGACATCCGCTGGGAAGTAGCAACCAATAGTGAAAGGACCAAGGCAGTGACATCTCCAGCCCATCCTCTGTTTGGGTATCAGCCAGTGCGCCAACGACTTAAATCAAGACATAGTTTTCTAAGATCTACAGAGACACTCGCTGGAACACCCCAGCAAGTGAGAGTCCAAAAGTGGCAGGCCCAAACCCAGAACCTCAATCAATGGCTGATACCAAATGAGAGACTCCCTCCTGGCATAACTATGTTTGTTTGCTTGTTTGTCAAAAATGCAATACAACTGACACGATAAATAAATATGGGATATATAGTCTAGTGAGGGAGCAACTCTCTTGGGCAGAGAAGGCTCATAGCACTGAGCTATGGTGGTTAAAGTGGTGTTAAAGTACATTAACTCCACAACGTCAATGCTCCCAAGGAATGATGACAAAACGTCCACTCTTAAGACTTTGCAGCGTGCAATTGGGTCCGCTTCCGCCAGGAGTATCATCTAGCATCGTTGCGTCATCAAAACGCGGCGAAAGACATGCGCATGAAGCGTGGAGCCACGTCTGGGCTTTGTGTCGTCACTGACGCAGCGAGTGGGAGTGCGTGCGTACCAGGAAAGGGGAGGGGGAGTAAGGAAATAGTCCTTAACTCGGTTCGTGTTGGGAGTTAAGGAGTGGACAGAAAGGGCGAGGGGCGGCAGGGAAGGCGGGGCTGCCATGGCGCGGAATGCGGGCGGGGTGTGTCCGTATTTCTTGCGAGGCAACTGCCGCTTCGGAGAGCGGTGCTGGAACGAGCACCCGCGGTACGGAAGGCCCAACCAGGGCTTGCCTCAGAACCAAGGTAAAGGCCCGGATGAGGGAGGGGAGAGGGGAGGAGTCGCGCATGCGCTGTTAGCTGCTAACAGAGGCATGGGCAAAGTTGGTCCCTCCAGGTGTTTTGGACTTGAACTCCTACCATTCCTAAACCTCAGCCTCCTCCTTTTCCCTTCTCAGTCGCTTTATACTTTAGATTACTAAAATGCAATTGTCCCTTTCCATGCCTCGATCACATATTGTCCTGATCACATCTATACACATAATAAAAGTGAAAATCTGTATGTGTGTATGTGGCATACAAATAGGCTGTTGTTCCCAGTGCTGAGAAGACAGCAAGCCACTCTGTCGAAGGACATTGCAGGTTATAGCGAGCACATCCCAGTGTTCCTTTCTCTCTTCATTTGCATGACCCCACCCACTGCTTCTCCCTTATCCCTTTCCAACCCTTTCCTATGGCACACAGCAAACAGAGGCATTGATCTGCAACTGATCATACTGGAGACGTTTGGAGAGAAATCACCATGATTTATAGTTGTAGGGACTGGGATGCATAGTTCACCTGCAATCTAAGAGCACTCTGAACTGCACCAACAATAGACCTGGAACTCACTTGGCACACAGACCCACCATGGGCAATTGTCCATACTTGCAGAGTTTAGGGGTGATTACCCTGGGAGTTGTAGTTCACCCTTATCCAAAGAACAGTGAACCCAGCCAACAATGGATCTGGGCCAAACTTGCCACACAGAACCAACATGGCCAATTGTGCATACTGGCTGGGCTTGGGGGTGATTGCCCTGGGGATCTGGGAGTTGTAGTTCACCCTTATCTAGATATCACTGAACCCAGCTGCTGTCAGATCTAGACTAAACTTGACACACAGACCCAACATGGCCAACTTTAAGTAATGGCAGGGTTTGGGAAGGACTGACCCACGATTCTGGAAATTGTAGTTCACCCACAACCTTATGCATTTTCTAATGGGACCATTCATTTTTTAAAAAACCCAAAAAAGTAAGACTGTTTTTCCCTAAGAAATAGCATTACACATTACCAAACTGATATTACCAAACTTCACAAAACAAACAATGCCTTTCTCAAATAACCCGGCCAGCGCCGGGTCCCCAAGCTAGTATAAGATAAATAAATGCAATGATTCGTTTAATTAGCAGTTAGGGAACTAGTCTGGTCCTCAGTCTCATCTCTTCTGCAATTGCAGTTTAGGCCTTGTTGCTGTTTGCTGATTACTTTTTTCAGTCTTCAGCTCACATCTTATTTCTTCCATTTTACAGTCCCACCCTGTGTCCACTATATTTATTTATTTACTACACTTTTATCCTGCCCTTTTCAGCCTGAAGGCAACTCAGGGCAGCGTACAGACTGGCGGCAATTAGATGCCCAACACACATAAAGACATCGTTTAAAACAGGTTAAATCACTTAATAAAATTCATATAAAAACAATTTAAAACAATTAAAACCAATGACTTCTGGGTTTTAATCTTTATTCTGTGTATTTAAATGTGTGTATTTTATATTTATTTATCGTGTCAGGGGCAACCAGACAATTGTATTACATTTCTAACAGAACAAAACAAACAAACAAACAGACAAAACACAAAGTTTGCAAGCTTGGTAGTTGATTAAATGTCCTTTGACCAGTATCGGCCACTTGGAGTGCCTCTGGTATTGCCGCAAGGAGGTCCTCCATTGTGCATGTGCATCACATTTTTTGTATTTTGTCTGGTGTTTTTTTTCCTTTTTTTGCTTTGTTCTGTTAGAAATGTAATATAACCGACTGGTTGCACTGACACGATAAATAAATAAATTGTGTATGTAGCAGGGCTCAGGTTGCATTGCAGCAGTGGTCAGTGGTTTGCTCTTCTCCACACTCGGATGTCGTGGATTCCACTTTGTAGCCCCATTTCTTAAGATTGGCTCTGCATCTCGTGGTGCCAGAGCGCAGTCTGTTCAGCACCTTCCAAGTCGCCCAGTCTTCTGTGTGCCCAGGGGGGAGTCTCTCATTTGGTATTAGCCATTGGTTGAGGTTCTGGGTTTGAGCCTGCTACTTTTGGGTTCTCGCTTGCTGAGGTGTTCCAGTGAGTGTCTCTGTAGATATTAGAAAACTATGTCTTGATTTAAGTCATTGACGTGCTGGCTGATACCCAAACAGGGGATGAGCTGGAGATGTCTCTGCCTTGGTCCTTTCACTATTGGCTGCTACTTCCCGGCGGATGTATTTTATTTTATAGAATTTTATATAAAATTCTATAAATGTATTTTATAGAAATCTCTATATATAGAGAGAGAGAAATAGAAATATGAGCCACAGTGGTGCAATGGGTTAAACCTGTGGCTCTCAACCCATAGGTCCTCAAATGTTTTGGCCTACAACTCCCAGAAATCCCAGCCAGTTTACCAACTGTTGGGATTTATGGAAGTTGAAGTTCCAAAACATCTGGGGACCCGCGTGTTGAGAACAGCTTGTGTAAGAGGTTATTGGTTATTTCCCTTCATAGGCTTGTAAAAAAAGACAGCATCTTAGATCAGTGGTTCTCAACCTGTGGATTCCCAGGTGTTTTGGCCTACAACTCCCAAAAATCCCAGCCCGTTTTCCAGCTGTTAGGATTTCTGGGAGTTGAAGGCCAAAACATCTGGGGACCCACAGGTTGAGAACCACTGGGTTAAAATCTTGTGCCAGCTGAACTGCTGACCTGAAGGTCGGTGTTTCAAATCCGCGAGAGAGTGTGAAGTTCCATCTCTCAGCTCCAGGTTCCCATGCGGGGACATGAGAGAAGCCTCTCACAGGATGGTAACATGTCCAGGCATCCCCTGGCCAATGTCTCTGCAGATGTCCAATTTTCTCACACCGGAAGCTATTTGCTAAGTTTTTGCAGTTTAAAAAACTTTTCCATATTTTTATGATAGAACCACTTAGGAAATGACATTTATAACCCAGGAACAAAATCGTGTTACATAATGTTATATAATTACTCATCAAATGCCTGTGGGGGTGCGGGGTTCTGACCTCTTATGTATTTTACTTCATAGAAGACAAACACGTATATATTCAATGAATCTTCTTTTTTCTCTATATCAATTGAAGACTCCAATAGAATAGGAGGATGGAGTGGCCACAATCAGAGATACAGTAATGTCATCCAGACATCTAGTTTTTCTAAATCGTCTAATTGGAATGGCAACAGAGAAGGCGGACCTTCAAGTTTTTCTCAAAACAGGTTTGCTGCTCTAGGTGCCAATGACAATGTTGATACCAATGGCATTAAGGATGAGGAAGAGAAACTCTTGTAAGTTGCAGTTTTCTGTATCTTTGATCTTTATACATTTGCTGGCTCAGTTTTTTAAAAATCCTAAAGTCTTGTTCACACACTACTTTATCCTATTTTGCCAGTGTTTGAGGATCAGCATGTCAGCTAGTTATTGAAAATGTTTAGAAACAGACTGGTTGATTGGCATCAGATTCATACATCAGGAGAAATTGAATTTTAGCTGATTCTAATAATTCATTATGTTCCTCAGATACATATTGCAGTCATCACAATATGGCAAACAAAGTGCAGGGCACTACCATTGTGATCTATTTCCTGTATTGTCTTGCTTTATTTATCGTCTCCTCACTTCCCAAAGGTTAAAAATTAAAAATAAAGCCTTAAATTGTGAAATATATACAATATAACTGCCTTTAGAATTAAAACTATTTAAAATGTTGATCTGAAAGCAGAAGGTATAAGTGGTACAATGTAATGAAATGTTTTTAAATGTTTAATTTTCATTTTTAATTTAATTTTCATTTTTAATATTTTGGAATTGAATAATTGCCTCTATGTAAGCCACTTTGAGTCCCGTTTGGGGTAGTGAAAGGTGGGGTATAAATAATGAAAAATAAATAAATAAATAAATGCTGTGAAAACTCAATTTTTAGTGAAATCATCAGGTCCAAATAGCCTTGAAAAAGGCATTGACCAGTTGTTGGAAGGACCGCAAAGAGAGAACAAATGTAGCTTCCCTATAAAAGAAGTTCCAGAGATTGTAAAAAGCCACTGAGAAAGCTCTAATCTCTGAGAGGATGCATCTACACTGTTGAATTAATGCAGCTTGACACCACTTTAGCTGCTATGGCTCAATGCTCTGAAATCCTGGGAGTTACAAGGCCTTTAATCTTCTCTGCCAAAGAGTCCTGATTCCTCATCAACCTAGAAATCTTATGATTCCATAGTGTGTTGAACCTTGGCAGTTAAAATGGTTTCATGCTGCTTTATTTTTATTGTATATTCCCCCAGAGTCTAATTCCCTCATTTTACTGCTCTGAAAAATTAGGGGGGGGGGGCATTTATCAATCAGTGCAGCATCCAATTTGGAGCGGTTTATGATTTTCTGATATCATTTATCCAGAGAAATAATCGTGAAAGACATGGAGATATGGGAATCCTCAGGACAATGGATGTTTTCCACATATTCCCCAATGAAAGAAAAGCCTAATATTTCAGGTAGAGTTCACCCTATTTGCTTTTATGTGCACCAGATGTTTGCTGTCTTACTTCAACAGTGTGACTTACTTAAATGAGGCCACAGTGTGGTGTGGATTCTGCTTCTTAAATTCCCAAGGCATCTGCAGTCCTAGATCTCTGTTTTTTGATTGTCAGTAGATGAATACTTGCTGAATAAAATCCCAACATATCCCCGTAGACCCGAACTCTTAATATGCTTTCTTATTGTCCAACTAGCCGTCCCTTCCATGCGTTGCTGTGACACAGTATATGTGTTTTGTGTGTGTGTGTGTATATATATATATGTGTGTGTGTGTGTGTGTGTGTGTATATTTGTGTATACATGTGTTTGCGTATATATATATGGTTCTGCACATGCGTTGTAATGATTTTTTGTTTTTGTGGCTTAAGTCTCTCCTCCAGTGTTTTTCAGCGTTTTCGTGAGTGATGGTCACTTGTTAGCCTGAAAGGTGTATTGTGTCCAAATTTGGTGTCAATTCATCCAGTGGTTTCTGGGTTATGTTAATCTCACAAACAAACATTAAGTTTTTATTTATATAGATGAGTGTCTGATTCTCAACCTTGACTTGTAAGAATGTGTTGGCAATGATTCCTTCGTTGGGCCTAGGAACTGTTTTGATTGTTCCTTTTTCCTGTAGGTTTTCAAGACTTTTTACCAGAAGAGTTACGTCTTGAGTATTATAACTGCCAAGCAAACAATGCTATTCAGAATTATGTAAGTATCTACTATTTAATATTAATAATTTGAAGCTCTTTCCCAAAATACACCTTTGAATTCTGAAAAAAAAAGTTATTCATAGACTTACTTTAAAAAAATCTCTTTTCTTGGTTGGCATGGATCTAATTTCTTTTTTCCCCTTTTTCTCAGATCAATTCAATCCAGCAATTAGTAACCCAGTGGAGAAGTAGATTGCATGAGTTGAAGAATATAAATGGGTCTAATAAAACCAGACTGGTGAGATTGGATTTTTTAAAAACAAAATGTCTTCTTTGTTGTATTTATTTTATTCTATCAGTTTAAAAAATTGTTTTCTGAAAAAGTAAATTTTACAAATTTGATTTCTGTGTGCAGTATTGCCGATGATTGTATGAGATATACCTGTATATACTCGAGTATAAGCCAACCCGAATATAAGCTGAGACACCTAATTTTACCACAAAAAAGTGGGAAAACATATTGAATCTAGTATAAGCTGAGGGTGGGAAATGCAGCAGCTACTACTAAATTTCAAAAAATAAAACTAGATACCAATAAAATTACATTAATTGAGGCATCAGTAGGTTAAATGTTTTTAATATTTACATAATACTGTAATTTAAGATAAAACTGTCCAATTCTGATTAAATTATAATTCTAACCTTCCTCAATGTAAATGTGCTTATTTATATTTCCAATAATAATAGGGTAAAATAATAAATGTAATGGAGCCCCCAGTGGTGCAGGTGGTTAAAGCGCTGAGCTGCTGAACTTGTTGACCAAAAGGTTTGCAGTTCAAATCTGAGGAATGGGGTGAGCTCCTCCTGTTAGCGCCAGCTTCTACCAACCTAACAGTTTGAAAACATGCAAATGTGAGTAGATCAGTAGGTACCGCTTCTATGCGAAGGGAATGACACTGTATGCAGTCATGCCAGCCAGGTGACGTTGGAGGTGTCTATGGACAACACCGGCTCTTTGGCTTAGAAAAGGAGATGAGCACCACCCCCTGGAGTCAGACATGACTAGACCTAATGTCAAGGGGAAACCTTTACCTTTGCTAGTAAATGTGATAAAAATAATAGAGTAAAATAATAGAATTGTAATAATAAGAGTAATAATAACCATAATAAATTAAAGTAATAAATGTAAGAATAATAAATAGAGTAAAATAATAATGGAGTAAAAAATGGAAATGTAATAATAGAGTAAAATAATAAATATAATTACAATAATAGGGTAAAATAATGTAACTGTAATAATAATAAATAAATAATGTAATAAAAGTAATAATAACAGAGTAAAATAATAAATAATTTTGACTCAAGTATAAGCTGAGGGGGCTTTTTCAGCCTTAAAAAAGGGCTGAAAAACTCAGTTTATACTCGAGTGTATACGATAGCCTCCTTTTTCCCAATTCTATTTTTCTGGCTCCAATAAAACTCTTTTTCTTCATACTTGATATTTCAGCTGTGGCAGTGGTTCTCACCCTTATCCGTTATAAGTCTCTGTGTCAAAGAACTTGGGTCCCACCAAATGAGAATTATAATTTTGAAAACTGAGCATCTAATTGGGATTAAAACTTTTAGTCCACCTAAACATTCACATCCCCTTACAGTTATGCATCCCATTGACTGAGAATCATCAATTATGTGATACTTTTGCATTCTTTCTTCTCCAACTTAACTCTCCCTTGTCTTCTGTTCTGTCAACTTCTATACAGATAGGGGCTTCTCTTGCTCTTTATTTGCCACACCAGATATCTCTGCAGAGTCCTGCTGTTCATTCAGATTCTTCCCGAAATGGAAACAGATCCTAAATTATGAATCCAAACGCCTCCCCCCCCCCCCTTAAACTCCTGGAATCTTCCCAAAAACAGAACCGGGGGGCGGGGGGGAGGGAGTTGTAGTTCACCCACATCCTGATCCATTCATAAACAGAAGAGACTTACGCCATTTTGCACACCCCTATCAAATATATAATAATCCTTCAGTAGTAAATCAAATTTAGTGCTGGTTATTGCTAAGGCAAAATGTGAGATGGTTGTAAAACAAATACCATTATTTTAAATCAAATGCTTGTTCATATTTGGTCCTGTATTTGTAGTGCACAAAACCGAACTGGAAGCAAATGTAAAGCTGTTAATGTCTTTTAAGATTGCAGAATTGAAGAATGTAACTGCTCACCCACAGCCTGCATTTGGGTTTGGAGTACAGCAGCCACCAGCTTTTGGAACATCCAGTAAGTTGGGAGTTTTAGAATAAGATGCCTTTCTCTCTCCCTCTCTCTCTCTTCCTCTATGTATATAATAAAAGTCAAAATATGTATGTATCTATGGATGTATTTTTCAGAATGGTCACAACATCCAGAGGACTGTATCATGACTACCAACGATGGATCTGGATAGACTAAATTTGGCACACATACCCATCATGACCAATTTGAAATCCTGGTGGGGTTTGGGTGCAATGACCGATGATGATGGGAGTTGTAGTTCACCCACATTTTTATCGGTTTTCTAATGGATCCGTTCATAAAACCCAAAATCAAACTATTTCTAATAAGTAGTGTTAGAAAAGACCTAACTCAAGCATCACTGGGCACCTAAGCCTTGTGTGTGTATGAGTGAGTGTTTATGTATGTGTATTCTGGTGTTTCATCTTGAATTGTGCTACTTGAGAACAATTCAAAATGCTGGCTTTAGCCTATAAAGCCCTAAACAATTCTGGCCCAGCTTACCTGTCTGAACATACCGCACTTTCAGCTTTGGAACTCTCCCCAGTGAGATTAGATCAGCCCCCTCCCTCCTCACCTTTAGAAAGAAAACAAAGACATGGTTGTGGGACCAAGCCTTTTGCCAGTAAAAAAAATAATGCAGTGCAAACAACAATTAGGAAATACAGTATGTGCAATGACAATCAACAGTTACGGTGTACGATCATGTGATTTTAATATTTATATTAAGATATTTTAATGCTTTGTTTTAATGTGAAAGGTTGTTTATGTCACATGTTTAATGGTTTAACCATTTTAATTTATAGTTATATGTTAGTTTTTTATTGTTATGATTTTTCTTTTTACATGTATGTTGGCACTGAATTTTGGCATTGGCATGTTTTAAACCGCTTTGAGTTCCCCAGGGATGAGAAAGGGTATATAAATACAGTAAATAAATAAATAAATAAATAAATAAATAAGATAGTGAACCTAACTTTTTGCTTTCCTTTTTGTTAAACTTACAGCCTTCCCTGTGAATAATCAGAGCAGTGCTCAAGCCTTCTCTTTTAAATCACGTCCTGAACCAAGTAATGTCCCTGCACCTGCCTTTGGGAACCTTGCTAGTGTTCAAGGGGCCACCGTACCTCCTCCTGCATCCCATTCTGTTGGCTTCGGGAACCCAGCACCTTCAGCAACAGCTTCCTTTTCATTTAAGACCACAGCAGCATCTTATAGTTTGGGAGCTCCTGGCTTTTCAAATTTTGGGAAATCTTTTCCTTCAAGTTCTTCAGACACAGCTCCTGCTTTGGGATTTGGGACAGCAACTGCTCCTCCTGCTTTGGATTCAGGGAACACGCCGTTTGGGCAGACACCAAGCGCCTTTGGCAGCCAGGCCGCATCAGCATCCCCAGCAATCCCAACCACCGTTTCTTCAGGAAAGCAGTTCACACTAAAGAATGAGCTCTCTGAGGAAGAACTGAAGCAATTTGAAGCCAAAAAGTTCACTTTAGGAAACATTCCTTTAAAGCCTCCACCGCTCGAACTTTTAAGTATGCAGTTCACTGTGGCAACGTCTTCCTACATTGTTTTTAATCAGATGCAGAAGCAGTAAGCCTTCAAAAAATATTTATCTACCTCACAAGCGTTGGTGTAGAAAATTAATTTCTCCTAAGGAAAGATCTATTTGATTTAATTGTGGTATGGGCATTGAAGTCCATGAAGATTGCATAGCACAATATAGCTTTGCAATAAACATAGAGTGAAGCACAGGTAGCAGTCATGGTCTTTTAGTTTCATATCTCATTGTTGGGGAATGTGTATTGTGTTGCTGTCCAGGTGTCATTGAATTGCGTCTTAATAGCCCATCACTACTGGATATCTGGTTAGGGCTGATGGGAGTTCAGTAACATCTGGAGAAATGGAAAACGACTGTGTTGCAATGGAAATCAATACCTCAGAATGATCTGTTTATGTTGGGTAATTTCAAAAAGGAAAAGGCATTTAAAAGGTAAAGTGGCAACAACAGCAGTTTAAGCAGATCAGACAGCAAATGAGCTTAAGCAATACAGGGGCAGAATCAAGCTTTAAAGGTTACAAAGACTATTGAAAGAACTACATTTCTATAAAGGAAAGTTAGAGCCTAGCTCTCTCTCTCTCTCTCTCTCTGGAGGCATCTTGCCTCTCCATGCTCACAGGAGAACAAAATGGAGACTCGGGCTGACTATGTGGCTAGAAACTTTGAATAGAAAGAGATGTGTCCCTGAGAAGTATCAGTATAACAAACAAAGAAATAGGAAAGAATAGAGAGACAGGAAGGGCTTTCCCTACCAGCTAACTCAGCTGTCTATCTCATTGTTGAGGACTATAAACTTGTGCCGGAGGAATTGAGTTCTAACAGTTTAGTTGTTGTATGAGCAGTTTCTTAACAGTTTCAGAATGTATCCTGACTCACAACGTATTTCTCTTCTGCTATAACTATAACCTGCAGCACCTCAGCATCCCAGCTCTTAAGTCTTTGTTTTTCTAGCTGCAACAGGTTGATTTTGATAAATGCATGTTTGTTTGTTTGTTTGTTTGTTTGTTTTTTCATGTCAGGAGCGACTTCAGAAACTGCAAGTCGCTTCTGGTGTGAGGGAATTGTCCGTCCTCAAGGACATTACCCACAGGAAGCACGGATGGTTGATGTTTCACCATCCTTGTGGGAGGCTTCTCTCATGGGGAGCTGGAGCTGACATGGGGAGCTCAACCCGCTCTCCCCAGATTCGAACTGCTGACCCATTGGTCAGCAGTCCTGCTGGCACAAGGGTTTAATCCATTGTGCTACCGGGGGCATGTCAAGTCTTGGTTTTGGAGTGCTGCTTTCAAATTGAGACAAAGACCTGTTGCTCATAGTCAAATGTAGTCTCTGTAGTTCAAAATAGTATGTCTCTAATTACAGCTAATTATTAACATGAGATCAAAATTGGCAATTTAACTTGTGTATGAACCTTAGGCCTCCTCCCAGTTGTTACGAGACAGTGAAGGACCATGTGAGCTGGACTCTGTCTGATTCCTGACAATAACTCATTAGGCTGGTTCAAATATAACTTTAAAGCAGGGATGAGCAACCCCTCTGGGGCTTGTGAGTCTCTCCAGAAGCTCCTCAAAGCCCACAGATCTTCTGATCGAGGAACAATGCCCCCTCCATCTCCCAAATCTGTCTAAAATGCAACAGTTTTCCTACATCTTTCAAAAGAAAAATAAATTGGCCACAAGGATGGCTAGAAGTGACATGATGTCAGTTTAGCATATTGAAATATCCTCTTCCAGTCTACTGGGCAATGCAAGACAGAAAAATGAGGGAACAGTTTGAAAGCTTTCTCTTCTGTGATTAACCACACCTTCCTCTGTTGTTTAATTTTTAAGGTGAACTGAGCAAATAAGTACCAGCCTGCACTGCCTTCAGTTTGAAAGAAAACACTGCACGCAAGTCTGTACAACAAATATACACCTGTTCATCTGCTAGAGAAGGGGAAAGATGAATCAAGATTATGTCTTCATATGTTTTTATTCTTCATGTTTATTTCTTTTATTGCTTCCTTGGAAATCATAGGAAATGTATGTCTCCCTAATGTAGATTGAATTCAGAGATAATGTGGAATTTATCAACTACATCACTATCTTTGACTTCTAAGAGTTGGCTGTACTCTTAGGAAGTCTTGGTGTGTAATTATATTGCACAGTTAGTGAATTGTTTTCACAACTAACCAGCTTTTAGAGCAGGCATGAGCAAACTTTGGCCCTCGGGGTGTTTTGGACTTCAACGCTTACAATTCCTAACAGCCTACTGGCTGTTAGGAATTGTAAGAGTTGAAGTCCAAAACACCTGGAGGGCCAAAATTTGCCCATGCCTGATTTAGAAGCAAAACATCTGGGCAGAGAATTGTCCTATTCCACTTTTTCATAGGAGATAATTTTTTGTCTGCGGTAGATCATGCTGTAGTGCAATGACCTATATATGAAGAGTGGGTGCTTTCCCCCAACACAGTTTTTGTACTTTTAATGAACTAGAAGACCTGTAGTCTTAATTAAGATCTTGCTAATAGACTGATAGTTCTAACTTTGATCTGCCACATGCACAACCTGTTCCCATTGGAGTGGCCTATATTTTAAAAAGGTGATTTCCAAAGCTTTGTTCAGTTTGATGAATCAAAAAAAATCCCAGCCTTCCCCAAGTTACATTGGATATAATAATCCTTAACACACACTTGGCTATGGGTATGTCTCTTGTGGCTTGGCTAAGCTTGTGGGTAGAGCTTTGGAAAACACTCTTATGAGTGAGAACAATGGGAGTAGTCTTTAAAGACAAAGGAATTTAAGGTTTAGTGTGGAAAAACTTCATAGAAGACTTTATTGGTGCATTATGGTTGTATTAAACAGAGGTTAACCAAATGCTACTGGATTGATTAAAGCAAGGGTTGGGGGCTGTATTAGTCCCCCCCGGTACCTTGGAGAATTGCACATAATCCTACTGGCAAAAATTAAAATGTGTGGACATGTTTTGTAGCCCCCCTTAGATTACATTAGATGCAGGAAAATATTGAAATACTCTTCTGGTTTATTTTTAGTTTTGAAAGTGTTCTCCCCCCTGGTCTAAAATGACCCAGGACACACACACATGTTATAAAAATATGCCTTAAGCTCCCAGAGCATATCTTAGACCAGAAATGTTTTTGAAAGAGAAATATCTTTGGATGCATGGGAACAGAATAATAAACAAGGTGCTTGCCAGGGACATGTGACCCGGGGCACACTTGGTTCATCTTTAGGTTAAAGTGTCTTTCTATATTTGACAGACTACACTTGCACCTGAAAAATTGATTTAGGAAAACTGCCTTTGAATTAATTTAAGGAAAATACTTCCAAAATGACACAGATTAGGAATATATTTTCATATGTTAACATAGATTTTTCCATAGCAACAATGACTGGCATTAAAATAATGAATTATGAAAAAATTCTAGCCAGCTAAATTGTTTGAGAACAGTACTTTGTTCTAGTACAGGATAGGAATGATTTGGCCATCCAAAAAGTCCAGCATAAAGTTTGTTCAATCAAAAGTGTCAAACTCCCTCTTGCTGTATATCATTTTGGGAGATCAAGAAGCAGTTGCTGCTATTTTAATCTGAGTTTATAACATTATGCCAATATAGTATGTATTGTAATTGAAATATTCTGAAATATTTATGTTCTGACAGGGAAGAAATCAAAATGTGATGTGGGAACAAGAAACAAATGCAACCCATTTATTGGCCAAGTAGTTTGACATTAAGTTCACCCTAGGTTAGCATTTAATAAAATCTGTAGAACAGGAAGAAGTGATGATAGCAGCTAAGAGCATTCTTGTGATATGTGAGTCAACGCTTCTGAATGTGAATTGGGCTGGATTAAATGTCTTAAACTCTTAGATTTTAGGGAATTAATTGCTTTTGTAAAGCAATTACAGGGCTCCACTCCCAAATCCACCAGATCACCCTATTCTTTCAAATGAAGATACTGTGCTTTTTTGTGTTTTGAAATACTTTTTGTGTTTTGAAATACTTTTAATTTAATTGATATTTTAAAATATTGTTTTAATATTAAAACCTTTGGGTTTGTTTGTTTTAATGTTTTAATGTATCACATCTTTCTCCTAACATATGATGTGTTTTAATGTATCACATCTTTCTCCTAACATAGGACCCAAAGAAGCTTATGGGATACTTCAAAACAAATTACACTAAAACTATCATACAAATGTTTTAAAGGCATTTAAATAAAATTTCTGAGCAGTTTCTGAAGCCAGACCACATGGAATGTGAGACAATGTCTTTTTTATTAACATCTGTTTTTGCAAATTGCCACAAAGTTGTAGGTTTTCAGAAAAAATAAATGCATATCAAACAAACAAATAAATGAATAAACAGCCTTTCACATTTCTGGGATTCACTTTTACAGATATGATTATTTATGGTTTTGCTTAATAGGGGTTCTCTAGGAATCTCTAGGTCCTCCAGTGTGATCTGGTCAGCTTCCACCGTAAGATCCTCCATTGCCATTCCCTGAGAGGTGTTTACTCAGGTTAAAAATTGTGTTTTTAAATGTGTTTCCCCACTTTTATGTGGGTTCTGTGCCCCTAACCCCAGCTAATGTGGAAGGATTACTATATATCTCTCAGAAAAAAATCTGATAAATAGTAAAATAATTCATTTTTGCTGATCTCAGGGCCCGGGCAGGTTCATACAAGGGATGTGGTCAGCCAAATAACCTGGACCTGAACCATCTAGGGCAGGGGTCCTCAAACTCAAGCCCGTGGGCTGGATGCGGCCCTCAAGGTTCATTTACCTGGCCCCAGCCCTGAAATGACTTGAAGGCACACAATAACAATCCTAATTAACTTGACTATTTTGTCATCCAAAAGTAGGCCCACACTTCCCACTGAAAGATGGATAAGTTTATGTTGGTGAAAATTGTTCATCATTTATGTTTCGTCTATTTTTTTTTTTTTTGCATTACAGATATGATATGTGCAGTGTGTATAGGAATATGTTCATTTTTTCCCCAAACTATAGTTGCCTCCCCCCAAAGTCCAAGGAACTGTGAACCGCCCCCGCCCCCCCACTTTAAAAGTTTGAGGATCTCTGGTCTAGGGTTCTAAATGTCATAACTAGCACTTTGAATTGTGCCTGGAAACAGACTGGCAGCCATTGGAGCTGCTGCAAGAGGGGGATTGTCCGCTCCCTGTAGCCAGCCCCACAGCCCCACATAGAGCACATTACAGTAATCCAGACAGGCATGTACCACTGTAGCAAGATCTGGTTTCTCAAGTTACACTTTCTTGGGCTAAGAGCAAGGCAATGTTAAACTGTATCTGAACAAATCTCGCCAAGAACTCTTATGATACAGTTGCCATAGTCATGAGTGGATTTGAGGGCACAAAACAACAAAATATTGGAAAAATAGGAGATCTTGCATCCAATGACTCTTTTAATCCAGATGTGAGTTCTTGTACCTCCAACAAGAAAGTGGTACTCATTTGTATGTCTTACTTTTGCAAGACGTCTTTCTTGTAGGTTTACGGATATATTGAAATAGATTTGCAATTGCCTTTCTAGTGAAAGTTGACTCAAAGGGGGAAACAAAAACCAAGTGTACAATCATCATGAAATCTTAAAATTTATTTATTTAGTTAGTTAGTTAGTTAGTTGGTGCATTTATATACCATCCCTCTCAGTCTGCAGGCAACTCAGGATGGTTTGCAGTTGGTACCAAGACCATAACATACAAATTCAATATAATAAAACAATTGAATATTAAAACCATAACAGAATCAATAAAATCAATAAAAACATGTGTCATTAGGATCTCCTTGTTAAAAACATCGTCCAATCACATCATCAAACCATTCCATTTTCCTATGTCTGTTACACTGTATTTGCAAATGCCTGCTCAAAAAGCCAAGTTTTTGCTCTCTTCCGAAATGTTAAAAGGGAGGGGGCCGATCTGATGTCCTTAGGGAGGGCCTTCTATAGCCGAGGGGCCACCACTGAGAAGGCCCTCTCTCTCGTCCCTGCCAGCCATGCTTGTGACAAAGGTGAGACCAAGAGCAGGGCCTCCCTGGAAGGTTCATAAGGAGAGAAGCGTTCAGACAGGTAAGTTGGGCCAGAACTGTTTAGGGCTCTGTATAAATACGTGTGTGTGTGTGTGGTGTGTACTAACATAATAAAACAACATCACAACTGACAAATCTTGATTAAAAGCTGTTTCAGATGAGATGGTTCACTTATGCTCATCCAGTTAGATTAGACATTCGGATCTTCCAGAAACATGTTTTGCTGCAGAATCCACTAGGCAGGCATTTTATGTTGTTGTCATTTAGAGAGTTGTAAACAGACTGTGCCCTTTCAGGAGGAGCAAAAAAGCCTCACAACAGATTTCATCTCTCTACGCCGCTCTCCGAATTCGAACCTGCGACCTTTTGGTCAACAAGCTTGGCAGCTCAGCAGTTCAACTCACTGTGCTATTGGGGGCTCAAAAATACCAAGGGATATATTTCAGAGGAAGGGACTGACAAAACCTCTCACTGAGTATTTCTTGCCTAGGAAAACCCTATGAAATTAATGGGGTCACCATACATCAGTAGGCTTAAATAGGAGCTCCGGGTGGCACCATGGGTTAAACCCTTGTGCTGGCAGGACTGCTGACCAAAAGGTCCGTGGTTCGAATCCAGTGGGCAGGGTGAGCTCCCTTCTGTCCTTTCCAGCTTCTCATGCGAGGACATGAGAGAAGCCTCCCACAGGATGGTAAAACAGGCTTGAATCAGATAATAATATGCTGGTTTGACAATGTAGCTTCAACATGACTATTACTCTTGCAGTCTTCAACACAACATCAGATGCTATCACCATTCAATCGAATAAGGTGCACTAAGAGAATGCCCATTATTGCCTTCCATTCCTGGCACTAAGTACAGACTCTCTAATGTGGCAGCCTATAGTAGAGGAAATCTCCCAAGGAGATGGAATTGTTATAAATATGGCAGTGAGACAGTAAAAAGACTGGCGGTACACTTACACAAATGATTCCACAGATCATTTGAAAAGTTATAGAGTATTAGAAGGATGCACAGCACACACTGGGAATACAAGACTGATGCAGTTTGTGTAAGGCAACCCTAATTGCTTTTATCGACAATTACTTTATGACTGAAGGGAATGGGCCAATTAGGCCCATTGGCTCATAGTAAAGTATCCATTGTAACGTTTGGGATATCAATATTGAGAAGAGGGTATTGATATCTAAATTAATGGACATAATTTATAAATTACACTGTGCTTTTAGCTGTAGGGGAAACACAGGGTAAGTGGATCTGTAAAGGATAATGAAAAGATTAATTAAATACAGTATCCGTCTTCAGGGATTTCCAAAGCTTTCCAGTAAACATGCCTTCAGAAAAAAACAGTTCATTCGAGGTTATATGGAGCAGGTCAGGAGGGGCATGTTATTTTATCTTTAAAAGGCAGAGATATGTGCTCAAGAGGAGGCACAAAATTGTAATGCTACACTTATTAGTTACAAGACTGTGTATAGAAGTACTAAGTGGAATAAAACAACTATGCCATGGGAGAAGAAAGAGACATGTTACAGGGTTGTTTGTGCAGTTCGGCAACACTTTCACTGCCATAGCTCTATGCAATGGAGTTATGGGAGTTGTAGTCTTTAGCCTTCTCTGCCACAAAGTGATGGTGCCTCACCAAACTACAACTCCCAGGATCCCATAGCATTGAGTCATGGCAGTTAGAGTAGGGTCAAGCTGCATTAATTCTACAGTACAGACATGCCTCTTGTTGTTGTTGTTGTTGTTGTTATTGTTATTATTATTATTATTTCGAACATTTGTATCCTGTCCTATCTCGACCTCCGCAGAAGGACTCAGGGCGGCTAACAACCGGCACACCATGGTGCCTACAACCAAAAGCATAAATATACAATTTAAATAAAAATAATATAAAAACAGTATAAAAACATTCAAACAGTCAAACAGTCGCTGATTTAAGTCATCGTACTAAAAGCAGTCCACCAAGTCCATTAAAACCGTCGCTTTGCCAGCAAGTCAACCTAGTCTGCAAAGACTGGATCCCATAGCCAGGATTTCATTTGTTTCCAAAAGGTCAGGAGGGATGGAGCAGATCTAATTTCGTTTGGGAGGGAGTTGCACAACAGAGGGGCCACCACAGAAAAGGCCCTGTCCCTTGTCCACACCAAACGTGATTGCGATGATGGGGTGGACAATGAGCAGGGCTTCCCCGGATGATCTTAGGGTCCTAGGTAGATCGTAGTGGGAGATACGTTCAGACAAGTAAAGTGTTCCTTTCACCACTTAATTAAATGGATAGAGGGGAAAAAATACAGGGACATCAAGGAAAGAACCAAGATAGTTGTAAGGGGTGGATTCATTACACTATGTGGGACCCCCAGTGGCGCAGTGGGTTAAACCCTTGTGCCAGCAGGACTATTGACTGAGAGGTCAGCGGTTTGAATCCGGGGAGAGCGGGTTGAGCTCCCTTTGTCAGCTCCAGCTCCCCATGTGGGGACATGAGAGAAGCCTCCCACAATAATGGTAAAACATTAAACATCCAGGTGTCCCTGGGCAACGTCCTTGGAGACAGCCAGTTCTCTCACACCAGAAGTGACTTGCAGTTTCTCAAGTCGCTCCTGACATGAAAAAAATTACAGTATGTAACATTATGTTATTTCCTGGATTATAAATGTCATTTCCTAATTGAGTCTATCATAAAAACATGGGGAAAGTTTACTAAACTACAAAAACTTTGTCTTTGCAAGCTATCCTGCTGCATAGATTGCTATAGTTTTTCAAGGAACAGCACAACCAATTCAACAAATAGTTTGCGGCAGCCACAAAAACAAAGTTTCTGGAGTGTAACAACTACTTTCAAAGTAACTACTACACAGTTAAACAGGAAATAACAGTTTAAAACCAGGAACAGATTGTTTTTTTACAAATTTTGTTACATAGTGTTAGCTGTCCAATGATGTGGGCATGTAGCACCATCCTTGTCTCTTTGCCCTTTGTCTTCAAACTAGCAACAATGCCCCGTCAGCCACAGCAGTCTCCCCATTCGTTTCACATGGAACATTTAAATGTGTCACAATCCACTATCACATGCTGGGTGAGGCAGCAATAAAAATACCTTTATCTTTTAGATTTCAATCAGGCGCTCTATGTAGGTATCTATGGATGCAGCTACCAGGATGAATAAAAGGCTTTTCCCCTCCCCGAGAATTCTGCTT